GCATTGAAATTTCATTAAAAAGAATAAAAACTATCGGGTGTTAATAAAATATCGCGAAAATATCACGAAAGTATCGCGAAATTCCTTAATTATGTGACACAAATTAATCACGTGATATAAATTCGACCAATAAAATCACGTGTTAAATATGGTAGTGATCGGCATAAATTTCAGCGGTGGCTTAACCATTTGATGTGATTAAGCCGTTCGCACCATAGTTAAAATGATCACCATGTATTGTACCCTCATCACACCATAGTACCAATACCCCCCAATTTTAAAATATCCGGGTTACTATAGAGCGCAGTAGATTTAATTAAAAAATATTGTATTTGTTTTAAAACGTAAGTATACCGTAAAAGTTTTTTTTGAATAAATGAGCAAAAAGTCGTTTAAAAAAGGTAATATTAAAAACCTTATATTTAATGCTGCTTGAACCACTTTAAACAGTTAATTATTTACGCGTTTTTTTTCTATTCTATTTGAAGAAAGAGACATTTTATTCACAAAGGAAGATGTATTTTGTTCAGAAAGAAAATATTCTAAACAAGTAAGCTTATATATATATAGTATTATTGCATTCGACGCTCTTTATCTCAATATGACAAGTCTAAAGGTAGGACTTCGTTGAATTACGGCGTAAAGTGATTTCCTTTTACAAAGTTTCACCAAAACGTGGTACTGATTTGTTAGAAATGGCTCAAACAGATGTATTTTCAACGGGATGTTATGGGTAAGGGGCATCATTTAATCTAATCCCGATGAGTTTTGAAATTAATTAATATGATAGTAAATATCGACACTTTTTGTTGTAAGCATTGATGAGTTATTGCAGGGAGGATTTCATTCCGGGGAAATTATAGAAATCAGTGGAGAAACAGCTACAGGCAAAACTCAGGTTTGAAAATCTTAACGTAAAATTTCTTTCGTAGTAAAATCAAAGAGCTTAAAAAAATTTCCAATCGAACACATTCTAGCTTGCATTCTTGACAACACTTACAATCTTGTGTACAAATAAAGATAACAAAGTCTTATTCATTGACACTGTTTCTACATTCTCGGCCGAACGAATCAGAATGTTATTTTTGGAAAGCGATCGATTTGTTCATGCAAGGGATCAAGGAATGGTATGTACATTACCTGTCTTATTTTAAATTATTACTTGAAATTAATATATTTATTAATCTGATAGAATGAAGAAAACGTTATGAATAGGATTCAAGTTTTTAAATGTTTTGATGTTTATTCTATGATGGAATTTATAGATGATGTGAGAGATCATTTAGAAAACCAGGTTAGGATGGCAAAAAATTTTTTCATTTATCAAGTCGGAAGATTTTTTGTTTAACCTTTGCTATTTTTATTTATTTATGTATTTATTTGATAAGAAGAACAATCATCTTTATGCAAACATAAAGTTAATTATCATAGATTCTCTCACGGCAATATTTGCACCACTTTTAGGAGTCTCGCAAACTCAAGGTTTTAAAATTTTTTTTTTTTTTTAAAATCAAATTCAAAATTGTGCTAGCGTATTATAATGCAGTTTCTAACTTCAATTTTTTGAAATGTAATGAAGGACACTCATTAATGGTAACATTAGCACGAATACTTCGTAATTTGGCGAAGGAATATAACATAGCGGTTATGGTAAATTTCCTAACACACCTTGTTTATTTCAGAAGATGAGAATTAAAAATTATCTTCTGAATTTAGGTCATAAACGCTGCCATCGTATCGAGACCAAATAATCCCATCTCTGTTTTCTCTTCAACAAAATCAAAACCTAGTTTAGGTATATCTTGGACATTTATGCCTAATATTCAATTATATTTTACTCATTGTATGGTAGAAAATGAAATAGAGATAATAGAAAACGAAAGGGACAAGATCACACAGCAGGACTATATGTACACGAATCGAAAAGGAGTTGAAGTTGCAATGAAGCCTAGGATATGTGAAGTACTTAGATCAAGGAACGGGGTGTGTATTATCTTTGATACAAACATATTGTAATGTGATAAAAAAAAAATTTTTTTTTTTTCTCAAGTTATTACTTATTAGATTTATATTTAAAGCAAATGGGAAAATGGTGTATCTATTATATGGTAAATATATTTTTTCATTTCTGTTATTTACTTAATTTGTTATGTGTTAATTAATCATTTTGTATAGGGAGGAAATGAACTTTTAACTGATAATATATCATGAAAAGTATTTGACGACAAAAGTTAAAATTTTTGAAATGTAATATTAAAGTAAAGATTTTAGATTTATCATATTTGTTAAAATATGTATAATATTCTTTTGATAATTTAATTTGGGAACGAATTACATATAGTAAGAATTCTTTTATTCCCTTTTTTAGGAACAAAGTGGAATGACAAACATAAGATAATACCTTTGTACATTCAATTTTGGTTCTTAATTTAGATAACAAAGCTTTTGAATTATAAAATTTTATTTTTCACTTTCAAAATTGCATTTTCCATGGTGCGTATTCTGTGAAATGAGTCGACCAAGCACGTTAACGGTATTAGGAAATAAGGAAAATAAAAAGAAAGCAAAATATTTTTCTGTAAATCTGTTAATTCTTCATGTTTTGTAAAAAACAATTCAACAAGGCAAGCAAATGTTGTGGTTGTAACGTGACTCGAGTAAATCAACATTGGAAGGCGAATTGTATTACTATCTTTTCGAGTGGGGAATCAAATTTTTAAAAAATTAGATTAATTAAATATTTATTATTATTAAATATTTGTTTTTTACCTTTCCAAAGTCCAATAGAAACATAAAAGAAAAATGGTAATTGCAATATGAGTTCAATGAAGGCGAAACCTCTAAACCAATTGGGTGTATTAACGTAAAATGGGTCATTAAAATTTTCGGTGTACCACTGATTAATTGATTTGAAAAAATTAGGTGTTAATGATAAAGGAAAAACGGGATACGTATCCAGAAGTATTGCTGGAAAAATGTGAGTGACGAAATAAATAAAATAGACCAGATCTGAGACAATTCAAAAAGCACTTAGTATATCATTATAAAAGGATAACAATAATAGGTGAGAAAAAGAATTTCACCTAGCGGTCGAGAAGTGATGAAAGTCATTTTTTCAATAAAATGATCAAAATTTTTTATTTTTATTTTATTTTTTTTTTTTCTTTTAAAAAGGAAAAAAAAAAAAAAAAAAAAAAAAACTTTTGTTTGGCGATGAATATGCATAAAATATATGCAATATATGATTAAAGTTGTTTCCTTACAGATATTAATAGCAAATCAGGGTGAATTAGTGGTTTGATCATTCGGTTAAAAAAGAACTGAAGTAAGTAACAAAGTACACACTGTATCACACGTATCTAATAGAGTGCTAATTTTTTTATGATACCCTGGGAGTTGAACACCCTTGTGTAAGGTTGTGTCTAAAACAACCTTGTACGAATTTTTTTTACTCATAATGGAGGACACATTACATTCATTTTTTTTTTCTTTTTTTTCACACTCAATTTGAATTATCAAAATATAAGTCAAAAAGAGGGCCTTGCCTTCCCTTTATTTTATCCTTCTTACCGTCTTCCTCCCTCGCTCAACAACTCCTCTGTCTCACTCGATAGTGGTATAGTGGTCAATTTCTTATTTCGTAGCGTGTCTACGATCTTTAATTGAGTTACATTATTCCCTATATCTCAATTTCTTCTATATATAAGTTCGGCGGGCCGTAGTCTTTATATTTTGACGTTCATATAATTCAACCTTACTTGCAATTAATCATTACTTTAGTTATCAAGTCTTTTATGTACAATTATTACACTAATATAATAGAAACTATTTTGTTTCATCTTGTAACTATTTAACTTGTATTATAACTCTTACCGTATTTAATAACCATAAACGCCAAAAAAATGGGCACTTGCTGTTGTAAAGAAGAAGAAATTGACTTCGATTCTGAAGGTAACTAGCTTATTCAGACATACCTTATTGGATTATTTAAACTTTATCAATAACCTTCATATTAATTTATTTTACTCACCTTTATCAATGAACACAGTTGAGCTATCTCATTTTCATTTACTAAGATCCGTAGGAAAAGGTGCTTTCGGCAAGGTAAGTTAGAACTCGATGAATTAGGATTAAACTTGGAAAAAACATTCTTGTTGATTTTATCAAATTAATTCTTAGGTTCGTGTTGTTCAACACAAACACTCAAAAATTTTATACGCGCTTAAATACATTAATAAAGCAAAATGTATAAAAATGCGCGCTGTGGAAAATATTATACAAGAGCGTCGTTTGTTGGAAGAAATTGATTATCCACTAGTGTGTAATTTACGATATGCATTCCAGGATGATGAGAATTTATTCATGGTTCTTGATTTGATGTTGGGGGGTGATTTAAGATTCCATCTTGAAAGACAGGGAAATATGAAGGAGGAGGTTGTAAAATTTTACATTGCCGAAGTCAGTTTGGGTTTACACTATTTACATTTAAGGAAAATTGTTCATAGGTATATGCAAGTTTTATAATAATAAAAAAAAAAATTTTTTTTTTTTTTTCGTGTATGATAATGTTTGACCCCAAGAAAATTTCATCTTTTAATAGGGATTTAAAACCTGATAATGTTCTTTTGGATGAGAAAGGTCATGCTCATTTAACTGATTTTAATATTGCAGTACATTTCAATGAAAGAAAACCCCTTATGTCTGTGGCCGGATCAATGGCTTATATGGGTATTTATCTTTTTTTTTTTAAAAAAAAAAATAAAAATAATAATAATAATAATATAAATTTATGTATTAATTTTTTTTAAAAAAAAAAAAAAAATAACAATTATTTTAATTAAGCCCCAGAAGTACTGATAAAAAAAGGATATTTTGATTCTGTGGATTGGTGGTCATTAGGGGTTGTAATGTATGAATTACTTTTCAGTAAGGTATAATAAATTTTTTTTTTTAAACAAAGTACTAATCCTTATAGTCAAACTTTCATATTTTAACCTAGATTTTCTTTATTTCAGCGACCTTTTCGTGGAAAGACTAATCATCAATTAACGCAGGCAATTTTACATGAACCTCTTACATTTCCAGAGAACGCTAATGGTTCAGTTTCTGAAGAATGTCTAGATTGTATAAGAAGAGTATGTTTTTTTTTTTTTTTGCATAATTATAATTCTTTTTAAAAAACATTATCTGAATCCGTCCAATATTATATAGTTTTGTGAACGAGATATAAAAAAACGTCTAGGGTGTGGCCCCAATGGATTAGAAGATATTAAAAAACATCCTTGGTTTAAAGATATTGAATGGGGAAAACTTGATACAAAAGAAGCTAAGCCTCCGTTCGTTCCTGATGTAAGGATTAAAATTTATTTTCTGCATATAATAGTATTTAAAACAATTTAGGTTAATAAAATTGATACTTTATTTTAAGTCTAAGCGGGCAAATTTTGATGCTACACACGAACTGGAGGAACTTTTACTGGAAGATAATCCCCTTAAAGCTAAAAAACGAGCAAACCCTAACCAAGATCTTAGTGAATTATCAAAAGAAATGCGAATGATGGAAGAAAAATTCCTTGTGTATGATTTTTCTAAAATGCGTAGGAGAAGTTATAATAACCATAATCTTAATAATGGTATGCAAGAAAAAAGATCTAGTCAGATTATCAGAAGAAAAAGTGGCAGTAGAAGCAGCAGTAGCTCTACAACGGTTGAACGATTAAATACTGATTCGTCAACAATTATGAACTTTAATATAGATACTAATGCAGCCCTTTTGCCAATTCGTCCACCATCTTCAGCAAAATCACACGGGCTTCAAGGATCAGATTTAAGTGGTTATGTTGATGAACAGAAAGAAAAAAATAGAGGGGACTGGTTAAATGAAAGGCCGTCGTCACCTCAAAATCGCGATAGTAGACGAACGTCTGGATTTGGATTAGGGACAATGCCATCCAGTGGAAAAACAAGTCTAATAATGACATCAAATGAATCGGACTTTTCAACGAAACCTTACCCGGTGGGTAGGGTTTCACCTTCTTCTTCTATAATAATAGATATTAATAAACAAAATCTTCCAGGTTTTTCCTCAACTACACCGGCAAATTCATCCTCTTTATCGCCGCCGCCACGTGTTCAGCCTCCTGTGCAAACGAAATACAATTCCACTTCCCCATCATCATCACGACCTAGTTCTCCAAATCTACATCCTGCTCGATCCCCTTCACCACAATTAGTATCGTCTAATACGAGTTCTTTAATCGTCTCACCTCCGGAACTGGAACTTATTTCAAGCCAAAATGTTACGCCTCTACCTTCAAAAATTCCACTTTCCCAACCACCAAGTACATTTTCGACAATAAAGTCAACCTCAACGTTAATGAATCCTATTAATCCTAGTTCATCACTAAGCACCGATTCTTATAATCAATCGGCTTCATCTATTAGGGTTCGTTCATTGTCTCCCCCCTCAACTAATAAAAGGCCCACGATACCAATGGAACCATCACCAACTAGTAACAGCCGTGTGTGGAGTTCTAGTGAATTAGGTGAAGGCAATCACACTGCCTCGACGAGCAGAAATTCTGCGGGCAGTGGCTTCTCGTCGGAAAACAGTAATGATGGTGGTGTCGGTGGTGGACTAAGTGCTAGAGGACATTTTCGAAATGCCAGTGATGTCAGTACTGGTTCCGGTGCATTAAGCGCTGTAGGTGTACCAGCGGGTTTATGATTATCCCAAATAAAACCTTCATAATAGTCAAAGTAAAAGAAAGAAAAAAGAAAAAAGAATTATGTATTAGTAAAGTGAAACAAAAGGTGACTTGTAATATTGTGAAAAAAAAAAAAAAAAAAAAAAAAAAAAACCAAAAACAAAAAACTATACAAGTTTCATGATGTAATATTATTATACATATATATTTTTTGTATTTTCAAGTCGCTTGCAAAATTTTTGATTTTCGGAAGATAATATAAAAACTTAATACTAACTTTTTTATCTTATTATTTAAATTGTTATTTATTTTTATATTTTAATACTTTGTAAAATAAAATAAATGTCGAATTTTTTTCATTTGTGATTTATAATAATATAAGAGCTTAATTAATATTGATTATTGAAGATTGATGATCATTACTAGAAATGTTTGATATTATAATTTTAGCTTATTTACTACTTTTTAAAGAAATTAAAATACTAATTTTTAATAAATTGATAATCATTAATGTTAGAATTATTAAAAGATTTGATATTTAATAGTTAATTACTATGGATCTAATTCTCTTTTATATAATATTTTTAATTTAAAAAAAAAATTATCAATTTTATATAATAAAAAATTAAATATATAGGTATTTGTCAGAGAAAATCTAGAATTTGAATGTAACTCAAAATGTCAATTGAAATAAAAAAAAAATAAAAAACAAATTAGTTATGTCTTAATTATCAATTTGTTAATCACTTACCAAAAATATTTTTTGTATTACATTATTTTTATTTTTAGAATAATCAGCATAATGCATTAAATGAAGTAATAAGTTTGTTAGTAAAAAGAGAGAAAATCTATTTTATTGGTCACATTTAAATTTAGATCTTCTTCCTTTCTATTATTACACTAATTCTTTTAAATCGTGGGTAAATCACCTACGATATTACAGTTTAGCAAAAGGTTTCATTCACAAAGAAGAGTAAAAATAAAGATATAAAATAAAAGAAATAAAATAAATAAGATAAATTGGATGAAGTACGTGTAATTAATTATTTAACAAATAAAAGACTAGTATTGTCTTTATTGGTATGTCTGTACTAAACAATTTATTTATCAAAAGAATTATTACAAGATAAGGCTCTTTCTCTATAAACTAAAGCTCTGAACGGTTTGGATTAATCCAAAAATTTTCAGTTTAGATCAACTTCAGTTCGGTTTTGAATTGCAAAAATTTCAATCTGAAAATTTTCAATTCAGTTCAGATTTTTTTCAGATTATAAATCTAATCCAAACCGAAAAAATCCAAACTGAATTGAAAATTTCAGATTAATCCAAAATTTCAGATTGTTTAGAATGATGAAATTATCGTTCCAAATGAATGATAAAAGGATCGTTTAATTGGAATGATGAAATTATCATTCCAAATGAACGATAAAAGAATCGTTTGATTAGAACGATTAAATTATTGTTCTAAACGAATGATAAAAGAATCGTTCAATTAGAATGATCAAGTTATCGTTCTAAACGAACAATAAAAGAATCGTTCAATTGAAATGATCAAATTATTGTTCTAAACGAATGATAAGAAAATCGTTTATTTGGAACGATGAAGTTATCATTCCAAATGAATGATAAAAGAATCGTTCGATTAGAACGATTAAATTATCATTTCAAAAGAATGATAAAAGAATCGTTTATTTAGAATGATTGAAGTTATCATTTCAAAAGAATGATAAAAGGATCGTTCTAAACGATTCGAAATTTCAGATTAATTCGAAATTTTCAGTTCAGTTCAGATTTTACCAGTTTACGGTTCAGTTCGGTTTCAGATTGGCATTTTTAAGATTTATAATCTGAACTGAACCGAACTGAAATTTTCAGTTCAGTTTCAGATTGGCCTATAATCTGGATCAAACTGAACCGTTCAGAGCATTACTATAAACTACTCCTATTTATATAAAAATATATTCTAATAATAATAAACTAAATAAAATAATATAAATGAATAAAATGATAAAAATGAATAAAATATTTAAATGAATTAAATAATAATTAGATTACTAAATTTGAAAATAAATAATGCAGATCATTTATCTATTTAGCAATGTAAATCCTTTTATTATTAAACAAAATTAATCATTCTTTTTTAATTTTTTGTAGATCATTTTGCATATCATTTTTAGATGTAACACTATTGACAAATTTTATCTGTATTTTAATTTACGAAATATTTAAGTTTTTCAATTTTAAAGAATCATCATATTTGAAATTGTCATCTATGTTGTCTTCTATAAGATCTATTCACTAATCACAATTATAGTATTTTCTTTTTCAGATTTCTTATTGTCTTCCTTTAAATTATTATTATCTGTTTTTATTGCTCCTTTTTCTACTCAATTAAGTCAGTTAAGATTTCATTTTTAAATCTTATTTTTACTTTTCACTCTTAATTTACTCTATTAATCCTGCTATATGTTTAAAATCCTTATTAAATAGATCAGTTTGTAATATTAAAATTATGTTACTATTAGTCTTATTAATTCATTAGTAGCAAATACTCTTATATAGAGTTCTGAATGAGTCAAGTCGAGTCGAGTTTAAGGATCAACTCGATTCAACTCATTTTTTCGAGTCAAGTCGAGTCAAATTTATTTTATAAAATTTTTCAACTTGACTTGATTCGAGTTATATAAATTTTAAACTCAACTCAATTTGACTCAACTCGAGTTTGACTCGACTTGATTTTGACTTGAAT